ACTACTGGGTATATGCCCAAAATACATAAACACATTGTATCAAAAAGATACCTGCACTACCATGTTTATAGTGGTACTGTACAAAATAGCCAAAATATGGACTCATCCAAGGTGTCCTTTATCAGATGAATGGATAAAGAAAATGTGGTATAAATGCAAAATGGCAAGCTATTCAGCTATAAAAAGGAATAAAATTATATTACTTGCATCAAAATGGATTCAGCTGGAAAACATCATATTGAGTGAAATAAGCCAGACACAGAAAGACAAATACGGTGTATTTTCCCTTATATGTATAAGCTAAAACAAAGAGAAAATAAAACAAAAACAATAAAGAAATGTCTGTATGTATCAGTATTGCTGCAAATATAGTTTTGTAATACTTTGTTTCGTACCTTTGTGAAACTAATGATTAAGAATGTTATACTACTATAGTTTTAGTGACCTGTGATTACTTTAAAAATGGTCATTTTTCTATTTAATTATTGTTTATAGACCTTGAATATATTCTTTTTTTTTTTGACAGGCAGAGTGGACAGTGAGAGAGAGGGACAGAGAGAAAGGTCTTCCTTTGCCTTTGGTTCACCCTCCAATGGCCGCCGCACTGCAGCCGGCGCACCGTGCTGATCCAATGGCAGGAGCCAGGTACTTCTCCTGGTCTCCCATGGGGTGCAGGGCCCAAGCACTTGGGCCATCCTCCACTGCACTCCCTGGCCACAGCAGAGAGCTGAACTGGAAGAGGGGCAACCCAGACAGAATCCGGCGCCCCCACCGGGACTAGAACCCGGTGTGCTGGCGCCGCAAAGCGGAGGATTAGCCTAGTGAGCCGCTGCACCGGCCTGACCTTGAATATATTCTGACTAAACTTGAGTCTTTTTGCTTTTTACTTGTTATGCTTCATTTTAGGTGAAGCAATAAGCCTTTTATTACAATGTAAATTTAAAGTATCTAAAAAACAAATAAATAAAGAAAAGAAGGAGGGAAGGGAGAGGGAGGGAGTGTGGGATGGAGAGTGAGGGTAGAGGGATGGAGGCTGGGATGAAGAGTGGGCTGGAGGGAGGGAGGGAAGAAGAGAATACCATTATATTCTTAGAATTGTATCTGGGGCCAGCGCTGTGGCATAGCTGGTAAAGCTGCCGCTTGCAATGCCAGCATAACATTTGGACGCTGGTTGAACTCCCAGCTGCTCCACTTCCAATCCAGCTCTCTGCTATGGGAAAGCGGTAGAAGATGGCCCAAGTCCTTGGGCCCTTGCACCCATATAGGAGACTCAGAAGCAGCTCTGGCTCCTTGCTTCAGATCGGTTCAGTTACAGCCTTTGTGGCCATCTGGGGAGTGAACCAGCGGATGGAAGACCTCTCTGTCTCTGCCTCTCTGCAACGCTGACTTTCAATTAAACAAATAAAATATTTTAAAAAATTATGTCTATAAATTGTATTGAATCTGTTAAAAGCTGATTAAAATATATGAAAAGGACAAAAATGTATTTCATAGTAAAACATGGCTTGAAGTAATGATATCTTTTGTTTGTGCCATGTTGATTTTTATTATCAACTAATATCTGCTTACTAAAATTATTTCATTCATCAAATATTGATTATTTTGTGTCTTGCACATTTCTTTTTTTCTAAAGGTTTTAATTGTTTATTTGAAAGGCAGATTTACAGAGAGGCAGAGGCAGAGAAATAGTAAGAGAAGTCTTCCATCCTCTGGTTCACTCCCTAGATGGCCTCAATGGCTAGAGCTGGGCCGATCCGAAGGCAGGATCCAGGAGCTGCTTCTGGGTCTCCCACGTGGGTGCAGGGGCCCAAGGACTTGGGCCATCTTCTACTGCTTTCCCAGACCATAGTAGAACGCTGGATTGGAAGTGGAGCAGCTGGGACCTGCTATGCCATAGCACCAGCCCCTTGCACAGTTCTTGACACTGGTATATAGTAAAGTAATGAAATCTATAAGCATGCTTGTTCTTGTGGACTTTATATCCTGGTGTGGAAATATATCTATATATCTATATATCTATAT